CCTGGAACCTCACAGTTTTTCACAAAACGTCATGTTGCCTGCCCTTCAGAGGAGCTCTGGTCTTTTGCCCCCAGGAGATAGGGACAACCACAGGGAAGAGAACAGAGAAGCCCGCTCTTTCGTCTAAGCACTCTCAGGTATCAAAAAGCAACACACTGCCCTGTGTGAGGCTCAAACTCACGACCTTCAGATTATGAGACTGACACGCTGCCTAACTGCGCCAACTAGGCCTGTGGGCTGATGGGCCTGAACAGAGAATCACTAGCTTTTAGGTCCTTGCTTTTAGGTGTAGCTCCAAGAAGTCAGCTCTCACTGGACACAAGTGTCAGGATGGCCGAGCGGTCTAAGGCACTGTGTTCAGTTCGCAGTCTCCTCTGGAGGTGTGGGTTCGAATCCCAGTTCTGACAGACCTATCATTTGGCTGCAGACAGAAACTTCAGTCTGCTGACATGTTGAGCCAGCAGGGCGTTAACTTTGACAAAACACTGCATTAGGTAAATGCTAGTATTAAATGGTCAGGTGCTGATGAAAAAGATGTGTCTTTAGACATTTTTTGAAAATGGTTAAAGACTCAGCTGCTCGAATTGAAATAGACAAGTCGTTCCACCAGCTGGGAACAGTCCAGGAAAAGGTCAGTGAGAGGGATTTTGTGACTCTTTGGGATGGCAACATGAGGCGTCGTTCACTTGCAGCATAGGTCTGAACCAGCGAGTATAGGTATATTGCAGAAGAGCCAGTAGTTATCTTGTAGGCAAACATCAGTACCTTGAATTTGATGCGAGCAGCTATTGGTAGCCAGTGCAAAATTATGAAGAGAGGTGTGACGTGGGCTTTCTTTGGCTCGTTGAAGACCAGTCTCGCTGCTGCGTTCTGGATCAGTTGCAGAGGCTGGATAGTACGTGCCGGAAGACCCGCCAAGTGAGCATAACTGTAGTTCAGTCTGGAGAGAACAAGAGCTTGGACAAGGAGTTGTGTGGCCTGCTCTGATTGGAAGGGTCTAATCTTCCTAACGTTGTATAAGGCAAATCTGCAGGACCGGGCCATTGCAGCAATATGGCCTTTGAAACTTAACAAAACCTCAGGAGGACACGTCCACATGTTACATGAATATGCGAGGGATGCTATTACTGCATTCGTTCAGCATTAGCCCAGCATGAATGCAGAATTTTGACGACATTGTATATCAAAGTATAGCATAGGACTGAATATAATGGATGAGATTCAGGGAATTTACCTGGAACCTCACCGTTTTTCACAAAACATAATGTTGCCTGCCCTCCAGAGGAGCTGTGGTCTTTTGCCCCAAGGAGATAGGGACAACCACAGGGAAGAGAACAGAGAAGCCCGCTCTTTCGTCTAAGCGCTCTCAGGTATGAAAAAGCATCACCCTGCCCCATGTGAGGCTCGAACTCACTGCCTAACTGCACCAACGAGGCCTGTGGGCAGATGGGGCTGAACAGAGAATCACTAGCTTTTAGGTCCTTGCTTTTAGGTGTAGCTCCAACAACTCAGCTCTCACTGAACACAAATGTCAGGATGGCTGAGTGGTCTAAGGTGCTGTGTTCAGGTCGCAGTCTCCTCTGGAGGCATGGGTTTGAATCCCACTTCTGACAGACCTATCATTTGGCTGCAGACAGAAACTTCATTCTGCTGGCATGTTGAGCCAGCAGGGCGTTAACTTTGACAAAACACTGCATTAGGTAAATGCTAGTATTAAAGGGTCAGGTGCTGATGAAAAAGATGTGTCTTTAGACATTTTTTGAAAATGGTTAAAGACTCAGCTGCTCGAATTGAAATAGACAAGTCGTTCCACCAGCTGGGAACAGTCCAGGAAAAGGTCAGTGAGAATGATTTTGTGACTCTTTGGGATGGCACCACGAGGCGTCGTTCACTTGCAGAACGCAAGGCTCTTTCGTCTAAGCCCTCTCGGGTATCAAAAAGCAACACGCTGCCTGCCCCGTGTGAGGCTGAAACTCACGACCTTCAGATTATGAGACTTGACGCACTGCCTAACTGCGCCAACGAGGCCTGTGGGCTGATGGGGCTGAACAGAGAATCACTAGCTTTTAGGTCCTTGCTTTTAGGTGTAGCTCCAACAAGTCAGCTTTCACTGGACACAAGTGTCAGGATGGCCGAGCGGTCTAAGGTGCTGTGCTCAAGCTGGGGAATAATAGTCTGTCAAAGGTGGGGAAGAAGGGAAGAAGAGAGGGAAGGAAGAAAAAGATAAGGGGAAGAAGAGAAAGGAGAAATGAAGAAAAGAAAGGGTGAAATTTGACGTTCAAAGACGGTTCTTCCTTAGCATGCGCGCAGTGATACATTTTCGGATTTCTTCCTGCGGGAAAATCGCGCATTTATATTACACTGTTTCCTATTGCAGGTGCTCACCAAGACCGGGGTTCGAATCCAAATTATCTTTTTATAGACATGTTCTATTGTTGCAGTGTACTGATGGAAATTGTTATATTAAAGCACAAATAAATAAAAAAAAGCAATCAGTCTGTCAAAGGTGGGGAAGAAGGGAAGAAGAGAGGGAAGGAAGAAAAAGAGAAGGGGAAGAAGAGAAATTAAGAAAAGAAAGGGTGAAATTTGACATTCAAAGACAGTTCTTCCTTAGCATGCGTGCAGTGATATATTTTCCGGTTCCTTCCTGCGGGAAAATCGCGCATTTATATTACACTGTTTCCTATTGCAGGTGCTCACCAAGACCGGGGTTCGAATCCAAATTATCTTTTTATAGACATGTTCTATTGTTGCAGTGTACTGATGGAAATTGTTATATTAAAGCACAAATAAATAAAAAAAAGCAATCATTTCTCAATTTTTTTTATTTTACAATTATGCTAACAGAACAGTAATGAATATTAAATTAAATAATAAGTTTAAGCAACAATTAAAAGGTAAATAAAATGGTAAATATCAAGTTTTCAAAAACAATAAGTTAAAGTTAAATAGGATAATAATAAAAAAACAGTAAATAAAAAGTTAAATATTAAATTTTTTTTATAAAAAACAACGTTAAATAATGCTTAACACAAATATTAACAATAGTGAACTATATTAAAATAACTATATACACTACAATAAATAAAAAATATATACATTATTTGGGAACAGTTCTCCACATTTGCTCCAACCACTGTACTTTTGTAATAGTCTCAGTCTGTGGGCAGTACACCTTGCCCCTGTACTGGCTATGTCCCGTTGCACTGGTTTTGAACTGTCCACACTTCTTGCAAGTGTTTGCCTCTACAGTTCTCTTGTAGGGTCTCTTGGGCATGGCTTGCGGACTGGCAGCTGGTGCAGCAGGTTGTGAACTGGTGCCCTGCACAACTGTAGGCTGTAACAGTGGCTGTATCATTGGCATCCCCTGGACCATTGGCAGTCTTTGAACCATTGGCAGACCCTGGAACATCGGCACACCCTGGAAACCTGGTGCTGCTAGTATAAGTATGTTGGGTACCATCTGCACTGATGCTCCAGGTGCTGATGGCGTAACCAACATAGGACTCTGTGCTGGTGCCTTGGGTCTGAGAGGGGGTCGTCCAGTAGAAGTCTGCCTCTGCTTTGCCTGACCTGCTGTGCTCTCTGGTAGCTTGTACTGGTGCTGCTCCCCTGGTTGTTCTGGCTCAGTCCGTGGGCGTTTGCCAGCCTGGAGAGGTTCCTGAGCTTCAGGGAAGGTCTGAGGCAACTGAATGCCCTGAAGCAGCACAGACAGCTCTTGCTT